CCCTGGCAGAGCTTGAGTCTGTGCCTTAAGTATTTTTATTCCTGAGAGCACCCTTGCATGCACTTGGCAGGGGCCAGGGAGGAGCAAGCATACAATCTGTTGTGTAAAAGCTTAGAAATTTGTTGAGGTGGTGAAGTAATGCCAATAATAGGGTGATTTGTTCCTTAATGTTGATATCTATCTTTTGGTTTAGCTTTTCATGTCTGATTATTTTTTAAATAAAAATCTATTTTTATCTATTTGAGATAAAAAAGTCTCAGTTTTGGGTTTTATTTGGGTTTTGTAGCCAAAGTTGTGCTTGAAGTTGCCCAGTTCTGCATGTATGTGCATGCTTTCAGCTGGAGTTGCATGTGCATCTTATGGGATTGTTGTAATCATTTTGTTTCCATCAGATGCTTCAATTCAGGATGGTTCCTTTACATGTGCATAACTGTTGATAAAATGGGATTTTAGCATGATGATAGAGCTTGTGTTTGTATGCTCTCCTACTCTAGGGTGCCTCTTTTGTCTGTCACCCTAGGACTTCTATTAGGTGATGCTGGTGTTAGTTCTTTGGTTTCTGGATGGCCTATTTATGAATAGTGAAGAAATTAATCTGTACATCACAAGTATAATAAAGTTTAGGCTTTCTTTTTTTAACCAGTGAAATGATGAGCAAGAGATGCTCAAATTCTGAGGAACAGTCCAAACTGGGATTAACTTTTTCTTAATTTGAAACAGCATTGAGGTTGTTCAGCTGAAAAGATGTTAGCAGAGAGAACCTGGTTTTTGCCTTTGATCTTTTCAAATAAAATTTGGATTTCTGGGCAAAGTACAGATGAACTTGCCTTTCTTCAAGCCCTGAGTTCACCTGTTCAAAAAAAGATCTAGTGAGGGAGGAGTTCAAACAGGTGCTGTTGCCTTTGCTGTCAGCTGTGATGTTTTAATGTCAAAGGTGCACAAAGATCTCATTCTTGTTATGTTTTAGGTATGGCTGGAGCTATTCACTTCCTCTCAGATATTTCAGTACCGGAGACTTCCCAGTTTCCAGCATTCGAACTTGGACCTCAAAGGAGGGAAAACAAAGTGGAACAAGACAGCTAAAAACATCGTTTTGAAAGGAAACTGATGCCAAAAGAGATGAGACTGTTTAGTGCCTCTGATAGTGAACCAGCTCGACACTGAACTGACAGATGGATAAACCCTTTTTCTCACCTCTCCTGCCCCAAGGGACCATGAAGTCATTAGAGCATGAACAGGAGAAGCCACATTTAAGTTCTGTTAAAGTGACACCTTCAGATGTAGGACAAGAGAAGTCAAGTTTTGAACTTTCTCTCTTCCCTTGTATTTGTCTTCTTCAGGTCTTTGACACGCTCTGCATGTTTATTGGTGTTGTGTGTTGATTCAAGTCTTTTGTTGTTAGCAAAAAGCTGGTCTCTGTGTGAATCTCCATCCTGTACCTTTGTGCATGAATCAGAATAGCAGTGTTGCTTTCTGCAGTGTGGTTACCCAGAGAGTTCTACCTTATGCTAGAGAATTCGCTGCAGGACAGTGCCCAGCCTCACTGGTGAGCTGGCAGCTCTAAAAAGAGATGAAAAATGGTTTTAAGTTCGTATTTTTCTGCCTTCTTCTCCACAGTGCCTACAAGCTAAGCTGATGGAGATCAGCCTGTTTTGATGAAGAGGTATGAGGCCATCTCTGTTTTCAGAACCTTAGCAGGTTGGAAGGGACCTGACTTGTCTTTTGCTGCTGTTGTGGAAGGTTTTCTGGAAAGAGAGGCTCCCTTTGATTCCTGCATCTGGTTGGTGTGTTAGGCACTTAGAGCAGGGTGGAGATGCTTCTCCCCACCTCTGCAAAGCCCCTTCCTGTGGCATGAGCTTAAACTGCAGGTAGAGTCACTCAGACTAACTTCCCACTGCCACTAACAGCAGAGCCAGGACAGCATAACTGTGCTTCTCCTCTCCTGTACTTGGATTTTTAATAAACCTGCCCTGCAGCATCTAGTATACAGATGAACAAGGGAGGGTGTCAGGGCAAGTTTCTCATGCAGGTAACTCAGGATGACTGTTATTTCCAAACCAAGGTGGTGATGTGTTCTGGGCCCTCCCCTCCCAGCCCAGACCCCTTGCATTTAGCCCATGTAGTAGTACAGGAGTGATCAATACCAGCTGCTTGTGGAGACTGCAGATTAATGAGCAATATGAAGCCATTGCTAGAGGCTGTACTTGAAGCATATTTCATCTTACAATCCAAATTAAAAAAGCCCTTTGCCCTGCTGCTAGTGCTTTGCTTCCCCTTGTAGAGTGGTGGGGGTTATGAAATACAGGACCTGCCTCTAGATGTTCCTGAATCTCAGGCTGTCAGTTTGGGAGAAGTGGGACATACTCTAAACTTACAGCACAGGCTTATGTTTTCCAGATAGTACATACACTTGCTGCCTGAGAAAGATAAGTGAGCACACTCTCAGTCACTCAGCTCTGTGGTCATCCTACTCCCAGGTCTCCCTGTGCTCTGTCATTCCTGGTTCTTATATTAGTTGCTATCTTCTATCAGGTGCAAGTGTGACAGATGGCAGAGTTTGACCTTTTGGGCACATATCAGGATATATGTGACCTGTAGGCCATCTGCTGAGCGCCAGTGTGTGTGATCAGGCTTGGAGATGCATTGTTGTTCCTGCATAAATCTTTGAATTGAAAAAGGTGACTTCCTTGAATGTGTTATGGTGTCTGTTGCCAGATCCATTGGGATGTAAATAATTTCCATATTCAGTTCTGCTGGACATCAGCACCAGTGTCAGTACAAGAGCAGCTTAACATCACAGTGTAGCTTCTCTGCTGGTTTGTCAGGAAGAATTGAAACACAGGAGCAGTGGGAGAGACTTTTCCACCCCTCTGACAAAGGGTAGAAGGTGAGGTTGGGGACACCAATCCCAGCTGCATCTCTGCAGCCATGGATGAGGGGAAATGATGAAAGGCTGTGGGAATGAGGAATGCTGCATTGCAAGCAGCTGGGCTGAAGCAAATAGGAGCAGAGCAGCAGAAAAGGAGCAACAAGAGTTAATTAACGTGGGGGATAAGAGAGGAACAGGGAGAGCTGATTATGGGAGGCACTGTGCAGCATACCAGTAGAGGCCATCTTAGTGAGGTGTTCCTCCATGCAGAGCACGCCAAGGGCTAACTGTTTCTTTCTTCAGCCTGTGGATCACTGATCCTGCCCATAGATAAGCTAAGAAGAAAACTTGCCCAGGGTGAAGTCTCACAGAAATGCTAAGAAAGCAGGTAGATGCTAGCTCTGATGCTCTTTCACATCACCCCAGTCCCTTTGTTCCTTCCCCTCCACTGTAGCTGCAGAGCGTGTGGGGTGGGTTAACAGGGGAAGGGCTCACCAAGTTTACAGGAACTGCTGCAAACAGACAGAAGCCACTGGCCTTCCCAGCAAATCCCAAGCATGTGTTGTACTGACCGTTTAACTAGGGGTCAACAGGCAGGTTTATTTCATTCAGTGAGCATATAAATATTGGCCTTGGCTACTGTGCTTGGAGTGGCTCCTGTGGGAGGTGATTTTGGCTGGCTGGGGCCCAAGGGGAATGAAAACTTGCTTGTTATATACATCCTCAGAACAGCTTAATACCAAGGAGATCTCCAAGATGCTTGAGTGTTCCTGTCAAAATAATGAGCAAGTCAGCTACCAGCTCTTTCTGCACTGCAGCCTTTGGCTGCAGTGGGCCCTGGCACCATCTTTCTCTGCAGAAACTTCTTGGAATCTTGTAACACTGGAAATGTATCAAGTTGAGAAGCATCTTACAGTGCGTCTGCCTTGTCCTTTTGATGTGACTTTCCCTGTGGCTCCTCCTTTCTGTTCGTTACAGTGTTGTGATATCTAATCTAGGTGGCCCATTAAGAAAGGATATGGTGTGAAGGTGAAAAAAATGCATTTCACCAAGGTGTTGTTTTCAAAAGTGGCATCAAACTAGAAATGTGGAAAATGTCTTAATATTCCCTGATTTGCTTTGTCCGTGTGTAATAGTCCATCTGTTGCAAAAAGCCGTAGTGTTAAAAATGGAGATGCTCTTTGGGCAGAAAAAGAGGAAAATAATGCTGATGTTTTGTTCTTTGGCTTTATTAGTAAAGATCAAGCTATGTGGTGGTAATGTCTGTGATTCTTTTTTTTTCTTCCCTGTTGTTCTTCCTTCCCTCCAGCACTGTGGTGATAGCTGTGCCACTGATCTGACTGTTGAGACACTTCCCCATCTCATAGTCCTGCAGGATGAAACATATGCCAGAAAGTGGGCAAATTGTTTTCTTTGAACCTTCACATTTTACTAGCACTGCAGGCCCCTGTCCTGCTGCTTCTCCCTGGTGATTTTTATTATGTGTTGCTTTCTTTTCTTCTCACACAGGTCCTGTTGAAGAGTTTGCAGCTGAAGCCTGACTCTGTATGAGCTGGTTTTTAAAACACATGTATGAAATGTCTCTGTCCAGCTCACTAACATCTATTTTCCAGCTTTGAGAAAGTCCGTGTTCCTCTACCTAGGCTTTAACAGAAGGAAACTTGAAGCATGCTGCAAGCAAGGGGCAGTATTTCTGTTTCACTAAGCCCCTTGTGCCACTCATGGTTGTCTTTGCCACCAAAAGAAACTGCTGCTTTTTTGAATTAAGAGCATTAGTTCTGGTCTGTAGATAATCTGTACAAATTCAGCTGTAGCTAGATAAATGCATTAGGGCTTTTCTAAGCATAATAAATCTCTGTGATGGCAAAATAGCATAGGATAGAGAAGTGGGAGGAAGTATGCGTGCTGTGTGTCAGGGAAGAGCTAGGCAGCAGCATGTTGCCTTAGCCCTGTCCCATCAGGGTGTTTTATGTTTATGGTGAAATTGTTCACTTTTCTCCCATTTGTTTTCATTGGTTTCCTGTGGATTCACAGGCACAGCAGCTGCAATTTGTACACAAGGAGCAGTAGTGACCTGACTTTAAACTACTGCTTCTCCTTGACATCTGCAAGTGGACTGCTGTAATTTCAGCTGTAGCTGTTAGATGAGATAGGGCTAGGTAGCAGGAGAGAAATAGAGTGAGACAGGTAGATATACATACATCTGTCCTCATGACTTCTGTCACTGCATAAAGCCAAAATAACTCATCTGTGCAGGAAGGGAGATACCTTCATGTGTGCAGGGGCTGGGGTCAGAGGGCTGCTTGTCACTGTTCCCTCTGCTTTTGCTGCTGTCCCCTTTACCTAGCAGTGCATAGAAGCTTGGAACATTGGCTGCCAGTTGCACCTCTCCTCTTTAATTGCCTTATTATCTAGCAGTTGCTTTGTAGAAACTGTCTTACACTGGATCCTTCCCCTGTATGGTGTCTCTGTAGTCATTTCCCTGACAAATAGTACAAACAACTGTAAAAGCCCAGAAGGCAGCTCAACCCCTGGTGACAGGGCATCAGAGGGGAGGGGAGGGGAGGGATCCCACTGACATGGGGCCTACAAAGACATCCTGGCCCATTTCTTCCACCTACTGAATTGCCAGTGTTAGATCAGAAAGACATTTTTAACAAAGGCTCCACACTGACAGTGTTACAGCATCTTGGCTGATCTGTGTGCTAAAAAGTGGCTGCTTGGATATATTCATATAAAGCTAACTCTTCTGAGGGTTTTGGGGTTGGTGTTTTTTGGTTTTTTGTTTAAGTGGGGAGGAAAAAACAATTACCTTCTTTGCTTCTTCCCATGGGCTGAAGAGCTTTTTGGAAAATGTAGTCCCAGCTGTTTGTTATCACAGCAGTGTAAACTGTCACAGGGCCCTCAAGAAAGGAAAAAATCCCCACAATAACCCCACAAACCAAAAAACTTTGCCACTACATTATCTTCTTCCAAAGTGACGAAACACAGGTGCAGTTGTCTTGCAGCCCTAAACAGAAATGGAAGGGCTGATGCCCTCTGTGTCAACTAGGGCCTATTTATAGCACAACAGATGAGTCAGCCTGCCAGTTACTGAGGGGCATGGAAGGTACTGCAGGTGACATATCCCACTCTACTATTAGCCTTGGGGCACCCAGTCACACCGTGGAGGCGGTGCAGGAGAGAATCATGAATAACCTATGAGTAAGATTGTGCTACTTTAACATCTTCAGTCCAACAGTGCTGCCTTGCTGGGCTCCCTTGTCCACACCTTGGCAGAGATGACAGCGAGTGCTGGGGCTGGATGGTTGCTGGAAGGCTGAAGAAGCAACAGTAGCATCAAAACCTTATGAACCCTCAAACTGCTATGAACTCAATTGACCCATTAATACAGACCCTTCCATTAACAGTACATAAGGCAGCAAGCACGTTGGAGGTAAGGCATTTTATGGGAAGAAAGCTTACTTGCCTGCTGGAGATAAAAATAAGCAGCTCCTGAGGCTGGGACATGCTCTGGCAACAGCTAGCCCCTGCCTGCAGTGTGAGCCTGAGGCAGTTGGTGTCATGTTGCTATCCCTTTAGCCTGGATGCTCAAAGAGGCTTTGCAGCCCTGCTGAAGGACAAAAAAAAAGCAATCCCTACTGCTGCTTTTCCCACTGGGGAAGCATTTGGAATGAGATACAACTCTCCCACTCCAGGGCTGAA